CAAGTCAAATATATAAAAGTGGGGCTATTACAGCACCTCCGACTCTGTGTTCCACTTTAAGTTGGTTTTTATATTTATATTTGGATCTGCATTTATGTTACTGTAATTAATTTGTTTTCATTTCTATAGGTTACTAATGATAGAATCCTTGCTGTTTTGTGCCCTAGCTTCTTATTATGTTTTGTAATATGACAGTATTTTGGGAATTGTTAATTATTGTACAGGGTGTCCGAAAAGTCTGGATTCATAGGTGATTTGAAGCTTTTCTTAACTTCAGATACATGACTGGTTATGTTGTTGTCAAAGCATGAGAAGGTCGAGTTTATCCTGTTGTGTGGCAGAGGAGGTTGGGCCCAGTGGAAGGTTGCCGTCGAACTCAATGCACTTGTATACAAAGAGACGCTCAGGAACACCGAACATAAAAAACAACTGACAATGACTATTTCGCAGTGTTCAAAGAGAATGGAAATATCATCTCCAAGCTTGTTTTGAATTACAAGGACACCATGTGGAACACTTTCTGTAAAATTTGTTGAAGTGCCTAAGATTTCAAACTTTTCGGGCACCCTGTAGTTCGACCTAATGTACGTGAATGACCGCAATATCTTTTAACTCTTTCTATTTTTAAATGAGTTCTTTTGGATTATTCGGTACAGAGATAACGCAAAGTCCAGTCTACTTATGATAACGAAACGTTTTATTTCTTCGACAACAAGTTTTATAAATTTCACGATTTCATGAACTAATGACATGCCTACATTCTAAACAGTCGCTTGTTAATTTTGTCTCATACGTACGGTAGAATCTCGTTAAAAAATTTCGTTAAAACATAAGCTCAAAATTTGAAGATATGAAATAATAGGCAAACGGCACAAACTCAGTAACCAATATACCACTGTAACAGACTTGAGCTCACCAATCACCAATCAATAAACATTTACTCCAATATGTTCACTCAAGAGTTTTCGAAATCCTAGCGCTGGAAAAAAAATCAACTAGTAATCCTGAAATAAGTCCCGAACCTACTGTAGTTTTTAGAAATTCCTTTTGTAATACATTTCATCATTTATGTTTTATTACAAGTAAACCCATTTAGCTAATTTTATCATCAAATATTAAAAATATTGTTGCGTCAGCGAGTCACATGACTACTGTGACGCCACGTTTCTAGAACTATCC